GTTATTATTATTATTATTATTAGGATAAAAGCAATTTAGAAGACCATGAAAATTTTGGACTACTTAGAATTAAAATGAAAGTTAGTAATTATTTTTTAGAATAAATTTAAATTATTTTTTTATGGAAAATTATAATAATCAAATACTTTTATATTTAACGAGTATTTATTTTATGAAAACTTACATAATTTTAGAATTTTTGGTTTTAAAAATATTTTACGCAATTTTTGAAAAATTGTTAATATAAATTATTATTTTTTTATGAAAAATTATAATAATTAAAAAAGTATTTTTTATAATGCTAAAACCAATTTAGAAGACCGTGAAAAAATTTGAAACTTTTTATATTTATTTGTTTGCTATTAATATACATACATACATATTTTATTTTATAAAAACTATTTACATGAACAACTAATCCAAATATATCTACATTAAAGATCAAATATATTATTTATAAAAAAAATCTTCACAATCAAAACGACAATTTGACCTTGCGTTTTTATCCTTTTCAAATTTTATAAATTTTGATTCTTCACTATATTTATTTCCTTTTTTTTCTATTTGTCTTGAAGCATAGTATTTATATTTTGTTGACGTTATCATATTTTTTAAATTTATTATATTTATACAATATTTTTATACACAAAAAGAAAATATATTTTATTTATTAATTTTTAAAACTATCATATATTAATTTTATTAAAAGAAAAATAAAAAATAATAAGGGCAAAATTGTAAATACTATGCTTCAAGACATAGAAAAAATAAGGTCAAATTGTTAGTTTTGATTGTGAAGATTTTTTATAAATAATATATTTGATCTTTGATGTAGATATATTTGGATTTGTTGTTTGTGTAAGTAATTTTTATATTTTCTTCGTCCAGCTAGCTAGAAAATATACATATTTCTATTTTGGGACATCTAATTACAATGTAACAATTTTTTTAAATACCACACCTTTTTTTCCACAAATACTTTTATTTTACATCACATAATTACTTTTATATTAAAAGGCAACGGCAAAAATGTCATTACATCACTTTTAACTACCACTGTAACTAAAATATTATTATTTCTTAACCTTCGTGCTAAAAGTAATTTTATATTTCTTAACCGGACGGAGGAAATATGTATGTATGTATATTTATAGCAAACAAATAATTCTAAAAAGTCTCAAAAATTTCATAGCCTTCTAAATTGGTTTTTATTGTCATAAAAAAAATATTTTTTAATTGTTATAATTTTCCATAAATAATAATAATTTACATTAACAATTTTTCAAAATTGCATAAATTATTTTTAAGGCCAAAAATTCCAAAATTATGTAAGTTTCAATAAAAAAAAATACTCTTTATATACAAAAGTCTTTAACTACTATAATTTTCCATAAAAAAAAGATAATAATTTACATTTTATTCTAAAAATTAATTATTAACTTCTTTTTTTATATTTTAAAAAGTCCCAAAACTTTCATAGTCTTCTAAATTGGTTTTATCCTCATAAAAAAATATTTTTAATGAGTGTAATTTTACATAAAAAAAATAATAATAATTTACATTAACAAGTTTTACAAAAATTGTGTATAATACTTTTAAAACCAAAAATCCCGAAACTATGTAAGTTTTCATAAAAAAAATGTTCTTTAGATCTAAAAGTCTTTAATTATTATAATTTTCCATAGTAATTTACATTAACAAATTTTCAAAAATTTTGTAGTATATTTTTAAAACAAAAAATCTCAAAATTATGTAATTTTTTTTATAAATAATACTCTTTACATATAAAAGTCTTTAATTATTTACATTTATTCTAAAAAATAAATTACTAACTTTATTTTTAATTCTAAAAAATCCTAAAAATTTCATGGTCTTCTAAATTGATTTTATCCTCATAAAGAAAAAAAAAACTTTTTAATTATTATGATCTTCCATAAAAATATAATAATTTACATTAACAATTTTCCAAAAATTTGTGTAAAATATATTTTAAAAACAAAAATCTCAAAATTATGTAGGTTTTCATTAAAAAAATACTATTTAGATATAAATGTCTTTAATTATTATAATTTTTCATAAAAAATAATTACTAATTTTCCTTTTAATTATAAAAAATCCCAAAAAATTCAATGATCTTTTAGTTTTATCCTCATAAAAGAAATATTTCTTAAATATAAAATCCTCTAATTACTATAGTTTTTTTTTAAAAAAAATTAATTTATACAAATGTCAATTATGACTTAATTAATATATTTTTCTATAATTTTTGGAGTATAATTTATTAACATAAAATTTTAAATTACAATTTCGTCTAAAAATAGTGTAAAAACATTTTTAAAGTAAAATATCCCAAAATTACGTAAATTTTCAAAATTATGTAAGCTTCAATAATAAAAAAATATTTAAATATAAATTCTTTAATTATATAATTTTCATAAAATATAATAATTTACATTAATTATAAAAAATAATTACTAACATTTTTCAATTATAAAAACAAAAAAAAAAATTATGAGTGAAGAAATTGAAAATTGTATTATTCATCTATTTATGACATAAATAGATTAAAAAAAATAAAATGTTAGAAGAATAATAATTTTTTAACAAACCTTTTGTTTTAGATGAAAAGATTAAATTAAAATATTGGTCTCATGTGGAAGTTGTTCTGCAAAGTACTAGAAAAACTACATCAGACATCTAGATTTACAATAGTTCTAAAAACTAATTACTAACTTTTTTTAATTAAAAGAAAAAACCTCAAAAATTTGTGGGTGAATGAATTGAGTATGATATTATTCATCTATTTATGCATAAATAGATTTTAAAAAAAAATGTTAGAAGAATAATAATTAGAAAATAAATAATTTTCTAAAAAACTTTTTGTTTTAGATGAAAAGATTAAATTAAAATACATCACAAGTAGATCAGTATTATCTTACTCTTTTCTGTGATTGTATCGATGGAAGTTACCCGACCAAGTGAGAAATTGCATCAGAGATAAATTAAAAATTATGTAATAGGCTTTTTATATCATCTAAAATGTTTTTACACTATTTTTTAAAGTAAAATATCCCTAAATTACATAAATTCCAAAAATTATATAAAACACTTTAAATATAAATTCTTTAATTATATAATTTTTCATAAACAATAATAATTTAAATTAATTTTAAAAAATAATTACTAATTTTCCACAAACAATAATAATTTACATTAATTCTCAAATCATATCATATATATATATATAAGAGCTTAAACGTGGACCCCATTTTTTTTAAGATCCTGTAACATCTCAGAATTTTGGAAATTTTTTTTTTAAAATTACAGTTTTTTATTTTTTATTATTAGAATTTACGGTTCATTATTTTTTTAATTATCAAAATAAATTATAGAGGGTGTGAATGACCGTTTTAAAATAGTGGGATGGTGGTTTCAATATTAGTGGAAGAAAACGGAATTTTTATTTTTATTTTTCTATATATATATATAGATAGATATACAATCGTTTGAGCATCATTCATATTCATCTGTTGCTGCCAGAAGAAAGAAGAGAAAGATATGTGAGGGAATGGTAACGCGGCTAAAGGGTGAGAATAAGAATATTTAAATTTATTATCATTGATGCACTTACAATGAGTTGTTACTTTTTTCGTTGTATTGTAAATTGGAATTTTTGTTTGTCTTCTTATTCAATTTTGTTGTGTTTTTTTTAGTAATTATCAATGAAACTATAAATTATAATATTTATATTTTATATTCATTTACAATCATCGAATTATATATAATTATATTTTAGTAAGTATAATTTTATTTTTACACAACTTGATTTATATTACATATTTTATTCCAAATATATAAAGCAAATCATAATTTTTATTATTAGATATTCATTTATTTTTTTTATTTTTTAAATTTATTTTAAATAATATTATTTTTCTTAAAAAAATTATTTCATTGTTATGTATTTTATTATTACTGTTTTATTATAAAATATTAAAATATTTGAAAATAAATATAAAATTAATAAAAAAAATTCTATAATAATTTATTTTGAAATAAATGATGCGCAGTAATTTTTTTCATTGATAACACCGTGCGTAGCACGGGTCTTCCTGCTATATGTATAAAAGAAAATAAGATATCATAACAAATAGATCAATTTCAATTGCAGATATTGATGGTATCAAGGATATATAAATAAACAAACATAATTTAAATTATTTTATATTTGTATAACAATTTTTACTATAATTGATAGTAAAGAATGATAATTTCATGACATGATAATATAATTTTTATTAAATCTGTTTTACATATGTTTTCATAGATATAGATTGTTTTTTTAGGAAATGATATTATATTAAAATTATTATAAAAGTAAATATTATTAAAATAGTCATATATATACATATATATATCACAAAAATACTCATATAATATGTAACACATGTATAGAAAGATATATTTATATATTTATATATTTTCCAAATTAAAATTTTTGGGATAAAGTAATTATATATATTAGTTATTTTTCATAGATATAATTAAAAAATAATATAAATATATTATTATTATTATTATTATTATTATTATTATTATTATTATTATTATTATTGTTTTTTCTTTTAGAATGAATTATAAGAATATATATATCATACCAAATAAATCAATTTCAATTGCATATATTCACTACCAAAAAGCTGTCTATTTGTAGCAGTTTTATAGTCCGTAACAATAAATTTGTACAAAAAAGTGATTTTTGTTATGAAATTTGTCGTGACAAAAAATTTTATATTTGGTCAACTTTTATTTTTATTTGTTTTGCTTATTTCTATGTAACAAATACAATTATAACGAATATCGTCCTAAATATATTTATTACGTAGGTCAATCGTAACAAAAGAGTAAATATAATATTTATATATAAAATATATATATACATCTAAATAAAATTGCTTTAAAAATTTTAAAAAAACTAAAAAAAATATGTAAAGGCGTGATAACACTATCGGATACACACAACATCTCATCACTTTTCATAATTCGATGTTCATTTCTCCCCAAATCGATTACCATCCCTCCTTAACCCTCATCGAACAATAGCTCCGCTGTCGGCCATGGTTCCACTGGCGATGGCTGCCCGTTGTCAGTCTGAAAGATAATCCTAGGCTCGCCCTTGTGTTTCTTTGGTACCCTGTTGTGTCGCCTCGCTTCGGTCTCTCCCTAGAAGTCGAGTGATTCACATTTGGCTACACAACATTTGTTTTCTATTCACCTGTCGTCAGTTGGTGCCGGCGCCGGCGCCGGCTTATTGTGCAGGTTTTTGGCTCTCCCTTTCCCCATCTAGTCTCCCCCATCAGTTTTGTAAGTATTGTGGTGTTTCGATATTTTGGTCTGTGTGTATAATTCTTGTGGGTTGTGTTTGCTTGGTTGAGGTGGCATGCTGAATGAGGTTGGTGTCCTGTGATTGAGGTTGGGTCCCATGGATCCTGGTCCGTCTCCCTCTTACGCTGATGGAGTGTGCCTTCCAATTCACGCTTGCTCGCCCGCCAACTGCTCGTCAAAATACCTCAACTGCTTCTAGGTCTTTCATTGATTAATTTGAGTCGGTTATTTTTTGCACTTTTTACTAGATATAATAATTGTCTAGCTATTCCCTTCTAGTCTGTGAAAATTTGGAACTTGCTGCTAATTATAAATTTGCCTTAGTTGGAAAATTCATTCACATCTACAATTCCCTCGGATTGTGAAGGTAAGTTGGAGAGAAACCCTTTCCATGTATCATTATCCTCCATCCTGCTATAAAAAATATCAAACAATCGGATACAACCTATGCATACAGGGGTTAATAATTAACTTTGCTACTGAATGTCAATTATGTGACTGAATTATTGCGGTTTTATTTTTCTGGGGGGTTCAAGGTTGTCTTCAATATATTATCATTAACTACTACTTATCGAGATGCATATTCCTTATATATTAAATGCTTTATAGTTTGAGAAAAAATGACTTGCAAATTCTATTTGATTGCCCAGGGTTCTCTTACATGGTGGATATATTTCAATTTTATTGGTATTAGCATTGGTTTTTGTATAAAATAGAGACGTCAATTTTCAATATCTTTCTTTTATCTCATGGCTTGTTATTATATATTGGAATTAGTTGATAGATTTTATTGATTTTTTATATTTTCCCTCTTTAATCTAATATATGTATATACAATTATATTTTGGAAACATTTATATTTAGTTTGATAAAATTATCTAATAATAGGAATGTTTAACATATTAGTAGATTGGCATCTAATGCTTAAACAAGGAATAGTTTTGGTTCTCTTCACTTTGTTGTTAATTCTCTATCTACTTGGTTGTTTGATGTTTGGAAAAATGATATTGCACTATTGTATAGCATTTAATTGATTTGGAGGATCTGAAAGTTCCAAAACTAGCACAATTGGGTTGAGGAAAAAAAAAAGTTCATAGATAAATAAAAGCTTACTTACACAATTAATTGGTTTGATTAAATTTCTGCACAATTTGAGCATTCATATGCTTGCTATGAATTTACTCCACCAAATTTAACTTTTTGGAGTCCATAAATGAATATTATATTTATATCGTGATCTAATAATATTTATTGACATCTACATAGGTGAATAAGTCTATGATATATTGTTGTGCTACTTGATACTTTGCACTTAAAATTTCTATGAGATATACTGTGATACAACACCAAATTGAGGAGATTTTTCTTATTTGTTTCTACTAAGCTGCCCATCTCATAAAGAGGAAATTCATTTTTAATCTATTTATGTAATGCTGATATGATATTGTATTATAATTGGTTTCCTTATAACAATTTTGAGTGCAGACAATGAAGTCTGCTGATTATATCAAAGCAAAGGATAGACCAAGAAAGTTTGGTAACATACGTATCACCAACAAGTGGATGCAGGTATCAAATAATTCATTGATATACCGATGCTTAGAAGCGAAATACAAGGAGGTGAGGCAAATGTCCTTTACTTGTTCATTCATTTGAGATTGATTGTTACAACTAGTGCTCTCCTATCAAGAATTTCTTGGATCTTGATTAAGAAAAGGTTTTGGTTTATTTTTGTGTAACAAGACTCTTAAAATAACCAAGTTTTCCTTGCTTTGGAGTGAGAAGAACCACCATTGTCCGTTTTGCGTGTTTAGTACCCTGAATGACCCCATCATGGAGTTCCAAAAGATACTCTTGTAGTGCAAACTATGTAAGAATTGGAGGAAGTACTAGATTTGTATCATTTTTTAGTTAAGATGACAGGCTTGCAATCATCCATGATTTTTCAGAATTAAATAGTAACAATTAGATGACATTCATAATTTTTAATTAGAACTTATTGTGAAATGTCCAAGAGCATAAGTGGAATATTAGATATGGCAGACATCATTAAGATGTGATGTTTGCGATGTTATTCCGAGAAATTGAGGTTGTCAGCAATTTATAGTCGGAGTTGATGTTGGTGTATTGACTGACTTAAACTAATAGAAACATGAGAGTTTCATCAACTTCATACGTGTTGCTTTTGAAAGCGTAGTTATGATGAAGGTCATAGGAAAAAAGCTTAGCTAGGTTAAAGACATAATTTACATGTTTGAGATGTCCTTTGATGTTTAGTTACTTCCGTCATGACATACTAAAGAATTTTAATATTTTGTCATTTGATCGGGATTCATCTGTTGCGTGAAACATGCCCTGGAACAAAATATACCTTATTATTGCAGGTTTACCTAAGTCAAATGAATATATATTTGTTGAGGCTAACGGTGGTTAAATCAACAGAGTACATCGGTATATTTTCGTGGATAACAATGTTTATGTATCATGTTAAAAGTTTGCTTTTTTATGTTTGGGAGTTATGGAAATGCAGTATCTCACTTATTTTGATTTTTTTAGATATGCAATGTTGTAGTTGTGGCATGCTACCTCAATGCAACCCCATTATCCAAGGTTAGTCTTATTATTGCATGGCTAAGAGATACCGTTATGAAAAAATTTTTACTTACTCTAGTCGTTGTTTATTGGAACAAAGATAAAAACTTATGTGTATGCATGCAAATGTTGGTGGTGATATATAGTAACGTGATGGTGAAGGAAAACATATCCTTTAGAGATTTTGGTACTTTGTTATGTATTTAATATTTTATTGGTTTACTTATATAGTTTGGATTCACTAGCCATATGAATGAAATACAATAATTTCATTGAATTAGACTCAATAAAATTAATAATTTTAGATTATATTATTTTAACTAGACAATTGATGATGTAATTATCAAAAACTTTAACCACCACACTGAACTTTTTCTATTGTATGGTCATTATTTGACTACCGATAAAAAAATGTGTGACTTAGTTTTGGTTTTCTTATGTAATTTCATTTTAAGCTAGTATTATTGTTTCCACTTATGTTTCTAAAATGCTATTCTACATGTACATGTTTCATGTTTGATTCATCCTGAAATTCACATTGTATCGTTGAGGGTATGTTTGATTAGTCTAACGTAGTTTGACAGTTCAAAGGCATACATTATAAAATTCAGCAAGCATCTCTTTAAAAATATTCTTTCATTACACTCACTACTTTATGTAGCTTGCTTTCTCTATAATATACAAATATATGTTGTTTATCCATTCTCCATTTTCTTCTGATGATTGACATGATGACTGATAGTTATTTTGATCCATTCTATTTCCACCTATGTAGTGATGCTTTTGTAGTATGCTTTTATGGTGCAATAGGTACCAATAATTAACCACTAAATAATTATTTGTGATGTTGCATTTAGTTTAGCTAACTATCTTCCTTGATTTCAAGGTGGTGAATTGTAATGTTTCATTTCAGTGATATGTAAGTATAATGTATAAGTTGAGTTATAAATAAATATTTTTTAATCTACTATTCATCCATGTTGTTTAGAGATATCATATTTCATCGTAACTAGCTCTGGTTTTACGTTTTTATATAGGTGATACCCTAGCCCTTGTCAAGATATTTGCTACTGCTGTTACGGTCCCAGAGAGACCGCACTTATTCTCCTAAATAATGCCGGAGCGAAGATCCTCGATGAGGTGCTCGACGGAGATAACATCAAGTGCACTTACAAGGATGTACACATTTTTTTTTAAATGTTTATTCTTTTGGGAATTAAATTACTTTAGTTGCTAATATAATTCTTATATATCATTGGAAACACATTGCAGTTGGTTCACTGCCTTTGATTGCTTCCTTTGTGATTTTGCACTCAATGAGCTTGGTCGTTCATAACTGTATTTGTTAGTCGACCTTAGGATAGTACTGCAGTTTGATACTATATCTATTTATTCACGTATTACTTTTGGATTTGGGAATCAAGAGTTAGCAAGTTGTTAGTTGGTTGTTATGGTGTATGGCATGGTGATTTTTGGAGATGCTTTAAAAGCACTGTTGACGCCTAGTATTCTATTTTTGATATGAAAACGAATGTTGTTGGATTGATGTTGTTCTATAGGTATGAACAATTATTTCAGATTAATTACAATAAAATTGTGTTTTAAGTTATTTGTGATGCAGAGTGATCCATAACAAATATTTTCAATTGGATTTTATTCATGGCGAAAAAATCCTTATTTGAGGCATGGATACATTATATAGCGGATTTTTAGTTACAGACAATAGCCGGTATAGAAAATATTTTACGTTTGCATTAAATTTGTACCGAATTTTTTATTGCAGACAAATTTGGTAACAAACAACTCTCTGACAAGACACTACTTTTGTAACACATTTACGGATAAAGATTGCAACAAAAAGTTTTCTGACAAGATTACATATTTGAATCACATTTTTTGTTCGGAAAATATGTCATAAAAAATAGTTCTATGACAGGATTTAAATTTTGTTTTGAATTTTTGTTACGGATATATGTTGTTCTAAAAATATGACCGATACTTTTTTTATGTACAAAAAATGCAACAAATACAATTAACACGTGCTTATTTTGAGGGTTGACCACCACTTATTTGTTACGGAATTTGTCGCAACATAGACTTTTTGTATCGCAATTTTTTGTAGCGGTCAAAATTCGCAACAAAGTCGACACAAAAGGCTATTTTGCGAAAAAAAATTAAGTTATTGTGACAGATTTTTCACCGTTAGAAACAGTCCTTTTGTTTTTGGTAATAATTGATGACTGTAATTTTGATTAAAAGACAACTAAATAAAATATATAATAAACATATATTAAAAAGGAAACCTATTATCATAACTAAACAAAAGTATTGATCAGTAGTTATATTCTTTCTTACATAAGTGAGAGATAATTTTAAAATTGAAATAGTCAAATTCTTTTATATTTAAATTCTTTTATATTTGAATAACAATTTTTACTATAATTAATATTAAGGAATAATAGTTTAATACCATAATAATATAAACTTAATTATACCTCGTTTACATATTGTTTCATATATAGTGTATTTTTTTATGAAATGAATATTATTTACAATTATTATAAAAATAAATTTTATTAAAATAGTCATCTATATATGACAAAAAAAAAACTCATATAATATGTATACATATTCATAGAAACATATATATATATGTTTATATTTTTCCAAATTTAAAATTTTGGAAAGAAGAAATTGTATATATATGAGTTATTTGAATGGTATATATATACTACTTCTCGTGAAAGCGCGCTACTTCGCGCCACTTGTTTGTTTGTTTGATTTTTTTAAAGGAAGTAGTTGTTATATCGGTATACCTGTTGCGAAATAAATTTTTTTTTATAAATTGGTTGGTTGTACAGATATAAAAAATATATATTTATATAATTTGTTATATGTCTTTCGCGCTTCTTTTATCCCAACCGACTACTTACTGGACCGTTATCCTCTATTGTAGAGAATCATTGTCGACACCTATTTTTTTCCTCAATCTTTCTTTCTGATAATGTTGTATATTTATATTTTAAAAAAAAATCCAAACCACCCGACCGAACGGCCTTCTTCTTTCATCTGACCAATCTGGTCAGACTTTAAATTTTTTTGCGGTATTTCTTTTTGGTCTATTCTCTGATTCTTTTTCATAAGTGTTTATTTATTTTATTTTATATGTTCATATTCATATAATGTAAATTTTAAAATTTATTTTGAAGTTTCCAATATATCAATATATATAATAATTTACATTAATTTTTTTTTAATAATATCCAAAAAAAAAATCAAGAAAAGTATAATATAATAATTAATATTTAAGAAAAGTATAATTGATTTTATAACTGTTTAATTTTTAAATAATTTCATGTGTTTGTTATGAATATAGCATTAACATTTTATTCTTATTATTTGAACAAATGTCTGGCGTTGATAGCAATATTGATATTATATTATATTTGGAGGAAGATGTTGGATCATCGCCCTGGCGACCGACTCTACGTCTTTCCTCATTTTTTCCGACCAAGTCGGCCAATTTTTATTTATTTAATTTTTTTGAGGGCCCATGTTTATGCTCCTTCCATCCGACAAAATATGTCCGACACCTTTTATTTTATCACGGTCTTCTTCATAATGCTAAATGTTACATTCCCAAAGAATGTAGAAATGACGCGACCTAACGGAATTACTCCTTTACTTCGGCCAGTTTCTTGTAATTTATTTTTTTCTATGTATTTCTTTTGGGTCTTTTCTCTGATTTTCTTTCATAATAGTTTATTTATTTAAATTTATATACTCATATTCATATAATGTAATTTTGAAAATTTTTATAGAACTTTCAAATATATCAATATATAAATAATTCTTTACAAAGATTTTTTCAACATTTACAACGAAGGGTCCTGAGGGCAGTAAGTAAGTTTGCCCATTGCTGTTCTGACCGGGCCCTCCTCCGTAGTTGGAATGCCGGGTGGTGCTCCTGTACAAGCCTCAAAAAATCGAGTGGAGGTTTCATTGAGGTCTTCGGTCACTTTTGACAAAGATCCATCAACGGCCGGCTGACAGGCAGGGCGTCTGTTTTATCGGTCGGGCAGAGGCAGAGCCATCAACTTTTGACAAAGTTGCAATAAAGTAGGTCTCACCGGAATAACATTTGGACGGGTGGAAGATGAGGATGTAGAGGAGACCCGCCTCATGGTCGCTTCCCCTCCCGACCGTTCACCGGCGTCTCCGCTGATACTGTCTTTCTTAAAATTGTATACGAGAAAGAGGCAACTTAGGTGACCTGTAAATAGATGATAAAGGCAGATACGCACAAATCTTGTGTAATATGCTTGTTAAAATATATTAATATAAGTATTCCGGGAAAGCATGTTGATGAGAGAAACTTTTTAAAGTAAGTGGTTGTGGCGATGGAGCATGCAAGCGAGTCGTGTTAATTGATAGAGGAGATGGAATCTGCTTTAACAATCATACACGGACGGAAATAGTTCATGAATGGCCTGTAGAAATGAGTGCCAAACAGACCAAAGCAGTTTCCTCTATTGAGGGTGCTTAAAGACGAAATTAACTTAGTAATTACAGACGAAAGGCATTTTCCAGGTGAATAATTGGGGCGGCTGAATGTTCACTTGTTTGTCGCCAATTTCTTTTTCTTTGCTGACGTCGCCGGTTGTGCTTCTTTACCTTGTTTTTTCTGGGCTGTTTCAGTTTCTGGATCTGGTATTAATGGCCAGAGATTCTTGCGGATTCCACCTATTATAGAGAAGCAAATTTTAATATCTAACGATAGCATAGATTCTGAAGTCCTCTGTTGTACTTTATGAAGCAGTTCTTACTTGATTTTTCTGCAGTAAACGCTGACGATGAAATTGTAATATGTGATAATGATGGAGTGAGGGTTGAAGATTGGGGAGTGTTTGGAGAGGGTGTATTGGGTGAATCGTTTTTCAGATCTTCTATATCTGTGCCTGAGAACTCGGAGTAGTAAAAAAAAATTTGGTATTGGAAATATGATTTATTAGATGATTTAAAATTCATTGTTTGTTTTTGTTGTAACCTAGGATCCATGGTTCCATGTTGTTGATTGTGTAGCTGTCTGTGTTAAATCTTGTGGACGCAGATGCTTTTTTCTTGACTGTGAACATGAATTTGCTCCACTTCACGTCATTGTTTCACATTTCGCAAAGCCTTTCCATCTCCTGGATAAAAAATAGTGTTACAGAGATTTTCTGTAAACAGTTAAATGGTAATTTGTTTTATAACCTTTTTTTTTTCCCTTCAGAAGGTTCAGTTCGCAGCCGAGAAGCATACTCACAACCTTCTCGTACCCAATGCATTTTATGGAAGCGGTGTCGTCGGTAACTGTTGCTGTTAACATGTATCTGGTAGGTAAATCAGATATTTTTAGTTATATTTTCTAAGTAAAAGGTTTATAAAACATCTAGGTACCTTTCTTTGCTTTTCTGAACGCTGGAGCACTTGAAGCAATAGAATGTTCGTGTTGTAGGTGTTTTTGTTGACGTATGGCATTTTGCACAAGCAGTGTATGAGAATTTCATGTTTGTTGACAGTAAGATTTGAAAGGAAGCTCGTGTTTTATGATCCACTAATTGTATGTGTATTTATTACAATTTAATAAGTTTATAGTAGTATTAGATATAATTTGTCAGAAAGAGGTCGGTGAAAAAACCTAGGATTGACGCATTTCTTGGGCTGTAATTAAAGGCAACATGTCTGTGGAATGTTGGTGACGAGGTGTTTCAAAGTGTTTCATTTGGACGAACTCATCAAGATAATTTTTCTCGTCCAGTTTCATGTACATAAGTTGTTAATTTAAATTGGTGCATTACAATTTGTTTAAGGGTTCAAATTTGTGTTATTTTACCATTGCTCAAGTGTTATAGTTTCGGGGTAAGGAGGATTGAATAGAACGTTGGCCATCAACATGGCTGATAGGGAGATTCTTGAATTGAAACACATATTAATTTGTAACCGTTTATACCCCAAAAAAGGTTTGTAGAACAAAAATTCTGGCTTATTCTCGCATGCTCTATATAACATATTGTGAATTGTATTATTAATCAGTAGGACTAAAATAACTTCGAAATATAGGTGATGTAGGCTTTATTTACATAGATTGTAAAATAATATTTTTTTTAAACAAAAATGTAGTCGTTAAGTATATTGTAACCAGGGTCGACCTTTGAAAGATGAATCTTTGATATTTAGCACAACTATAATCGGTTTTTCAGCAACAAGTGAGACAATCTCTGATCCCTCTGCCTCAACGAAATCATTCCAAATCGTCAATGACGTTGGTATTTTCCTAAAGACAAAGAAAATGTCAATATTTTAGCTTTAAGTAAAGAACTGGAAAAAAAAAATAATGTTCAATGAAATATTGTAAATACTCCTCTGTAATGATTGTGATCTCTTGGAGTTTATCTGTTCCTCTTGTTTTGATGGAGCCAACATCGATTGCTATACCTATGACGTCTTTGTAAAGTAAAAATTATGTTTAGTTTGAAGAAAAGTTTGTATGCCATTACATCAAGGTTAGGTAACGTTTGCATTGGAAAATGTGGCAAACGACGTAAAGGTAAGAATGA